GAACCCTAGTTCCAATGCTCCCAAGCCAGTCTTCAATCATTTCCCATCTCCTAGGAGAAAAATGTGCTAAAAATCAGTGACAGAAATCTGAACCCCCCCTGGAGCGGGCCCCACACTTCCTTGGGAACACCCCGTTTTTTTCCATCCTTTATTGGGCCAATATTCCCCCGGGCCGGTGAGTACCTCACTCTCAAACTTTGAATCTCCCCGCCCGGCTCCTTCCAGCCTTCTGAAAGCGGGAGCATCAAATTGGGCCCCACGCAGCGGGAGTCCAACTCCTTTCCTTGCTATTTCTACTTCTCTCCCCCTTCTGAAAACATTCCAATCTCTTTGCCTTATATATTGCCGCCTCAGGGCAATTTGGAATCGTCATCTCAAAGACCAGTCCGGTCGGCGGAATTCGATTTTTTTTTTAGAAAATTTTACTTGATATGATTTGGATATTTTCTTGGCTAACACTGTTAAATTATTGGCCTCTAGTTTACAAATAGGCGTCTGAAGCCGGCCAAGGACTTTTAAAAGAATTTCATTGTATTCCAAGTGGCAAAAGTCTTAAAAACTTTTTAAAAATGTTACCAAATTTTAAAAACGGCGGCTTAGGCTGAAGTTTATGCTTACGCTTAGGCTTAGGCTATCGAGTTTTCGGTTCTTTGACATTTCCGGGCGGGGGGGGGGATTCTAGTTTTTCCGATACATCGAAAAATGTTTGTTAACGTCTTATTAAATTTACAGTCTTTTTTTAATAAAATTGATTGGATTCCGGTTTGCAAAAGTATCTAATTGGCAAAAAAATTACAATTCGAGATTTTCACGGACAATCGTTTTTTTACAAAAGTTTGTAGAGCCTGTAAGTTTAGAAATACGAAAAACAATATGAAATCTTGTACATTATTACATCGCTTCTCTTGTGAATCAAAAGGAAAAAATTTGGAAGCTCGAAAATTCGGAAAAAATGCCATTCTGACCAAAAAGGGCCAAATATTCATATTAAATCCAGAATAAATTAATAGATTATACAAAAAAGAATAGTACCCTTTAATCCGATCCCCAAGCGCCGATTTACTTCCCCATTTTTATTCCTATTTTTATCGATTATTGACCCCTTTTAATATTCTATTCTATATTTTTCTATTTACTTATTTTCTATTCAACCCATGCCATCCACCACGGGTACGCGAAAGTACAGCTATTTTCTTGTCACGAGAATTATTTTGATCATTTTTTGCTGTAAAGGGATTGTGAAGCTAGAAAAGTGCTAAATTTTTGCGAAATAATGCTGTCACCATCCCTTTATAAAGTCCATTTGGTATGGGTAATGCTTTTATGTCGATTTCACGTTTTTTCAATTTTTTGTTTCGATTTTCCCGTTGTTATGCTGTCTCTCTGGATGCATACTGTAGAGCGGGGTATTTTCATTGGCCGATAGAAATTAAGTTCAGCAAAATTAACGAGTATTTTCATAAATTTTTAAGTTTATTTCCCGATTTTTAGACCCAGACCCAATGTTCCGTGTCGCGGACAACCACCTTTTCATCCGGGATTGAATGTCTGATTTTCATTTGTGTTCTGGATTTACGTCTTTGAATAAAAGTATCTATGAAAATTGCTGTAATTCACGGTTGATGCTCTCCGAAATCGACGTCCCGAAATTTTCCCGGCGCTTTAGAATGCCACTCCACGACGCTGAGGACCGAGTCCCGTTTATCATTTTAGGTGGGTAAAGGTTTCATCATGGAAGCTAAAGTAGCTAAAGCAAGCTAAAGCAAACAGCAATTTGTGCATATGGAGCTAGGAGCTAGGTGCTGGGAGCCGAAAACGAGATTCTCGCCGCGTTGCGTGCGCGTCGCTGCCGGGCAGCCTGGCTTTCCGACAGATGGGATCTTTTGAAGGAAATCGCTCCGCGCGAGGGGAATCATGCCAATTTCTGCTAATTCTTTAATTTAATTATTAAAAATCAATCGCTATCGTTTCGCAGAAATGGAAAACGGGTACTTGCTCAGTTTTTCAAGCTCTTTCGAATGAGCTATTTTTCGTTACGAAACTCCGTGCCCACCTAAAAACGTCTCCTTGTCAGCCAAATTTCCAAGCCAAAATGCTAACGAGAACGCTAATGCGATGACACTGCATAAGCGCAGCGGCGCCACTTGAAACGAGACGAAGACGAAGCCTCTAGCTCTAAGCTACCCGCTTGACAACTGCCTTTGGCAAAATTTTCGTAGACTTGAGTTAGGAGCTGGGAGCTGAACAAGAACCCCAGGAGATCGGCGAGTTTGCGTGACACTGCATCGCGATCAACCCTGCGTTTTTGCACAGTGCCCTTAGCTCCTAGCTCTCGGCTCCCAGCTCCTAGCTTAAGCTTTATTAACGGCTTATGCAAACGTTAAACGACTATTTTTCAGGCCCACTCCTACAATACGTGAGGAATTTTTGCTGTTGTCCGAATCGAACTTTTGCCTTTTAGCAAGAGCGAGGGCGCAACTCCAACTGCATCTGGGACGGCTGCGTTCGGAGTGTAATTTCAAAAGCTTTTATAAATAAAATAAAGCATCCTAGCTGTTCTACTTCCTGATTCTGCTCGGGCTTATGATACTGATCATCATCTTCCACCCGTTCGTTCATTACCGGCCAAAATGCAAGTACAAAGTTTACGGTACACGATTTGGTTTTTAGGAAAGATCAGGGATCTAAAGAAAGGAAAAGAAAAGAAAAAGATTTAGCGTATTTACGTAAAAAAAGAAAGGAAAAGACGGTGAAAGCTAGCGTGTTCAACTCGTTTCGGTCCCCTTGAAGAGGGGGTTATCTGCCGTTTAGCCAAGTTGCGAGGCGGGGTTCTTTAGGATTCGCGGGGGAAAGTATTCGGGAAACCAAATTTTTTTCGGCACAGGCCTAGATTTTTTTATAAATTGCGGATGCGTTTCTAAATTGTTTTTAACTATTCCTGATCATAAAAACTACACACATTTTAACCAAAAAAAATAAAAAAATAAAAATTAGGTCGAAGAATCCTATAGAACCTTTAGGATTCGCAGGGGGGGAAAGACCCAAAATGACCAAATTTTCGACTTTTTGAAACATTTTTCTAAATTTTTCTGAATGTTATTCTGCTTTCAATATAGTTAAAACTTACTAAAAACAATCCGAAAACACTTTATATTTGATTACTAGGTCACCCGGGACCACCAGGAAAAAATTGGTTTTCCCCCCCCCCCGGGAATACAGGGTGGGCCAGAGAAAAGCCCCTGTTTGCACTGAAATATCTCACGAAAGAAGCGGATTGGGCCATCGTTACCTTGCCAGAATGCTAAATATGCTGGGTAGGAAGAATAACACAAGTTGTTTTTTGATTTTTGACGACCCCCTCCGTTAAGAATTTTTGAACATTTTTGAAAAAGTAGAAAACTTTGAAGAGGAAATTAATGGAACTTTTAATGCGCTAGGGGCTCATGTAGGATATCAAAATGAAGCTCTCGGAATGCGCTACTAAATTAGTGGTAAAGATAGTCATTCCGATTGACTAGCCGTCAATAGAGAGCATTCAGAAGATCCGGCCTTTTCCAGAAGGGGCGATTTCGAGTTAACCATAGAAAGCACATGGCCGCTGTCACTTTTTGTATTTGTTAGATATAATCCTGTTTGCCAAAGATAGCCTTGTTATAAATTTAACTAAAGGAGCCTAGACCTTACAAATTCCCCCGACCTGGCAAAGTGCCAAAAATTTTTTTGATCGGGATTTTGAAAGTCTTAATGCCAAAAGTTAGTAGTTAACTATCTATTGATAAATGCAAAATATCAGAAAGATCGGATGGTAAAGAAATTATATCTGGAATTATTTCTGCAAAAAGTGCCGATTTTCCGAACGTTCCTTTTTACAGCTAGTTAAACCGCTCTATATTCTTTACCACTGGTTTGATAGCGCATTCCGAGAGCTTCATTTTGATATCCTACATGAGCCCCTAGTGCATTAAAAGTTCCATTAATTTCCTCTTCAAAGTTTTCTACTTTTTCAAAAATGTTCAAAATTTTAACGGGTAGGGGTCGTCAAAAATCATAAAAAACAACTTGTGTTATTCTTCATACCCAGCATATTTAAGCATTCTGGCAAGGTAACGATGGTCCAATTCGTTTCCTTTCGTGAGATATTTCAGTGCAAACTAGGGGCTTTCTGGCCCTGTATTCCCGGGGGAAAACCAATTTTTTCCTGGTGGTCCCGGGTGACCTAGTAATCAAATATAAAGTGTTTTCGGATTGTTTTTAGTAAGTTTAACTATATTGAAAGCAGAATAACATTCAGAAATTTAGAAAATGTTTCAAGAGTCGAGAACTTGGTCATTTTGAATCTTTCCCCCTGCGAGGTCTAAGGTTCTATAGAGATTCTTCGACCTAATTTTTATTTTTTTATTTTTTGGTTAAAATGTGTGTAGTTTTATGATCAGAATAGTTAAAGACACAATTTAGAAACGCATCCGCAATTTATAAAAATCTAGGCCTGTGCCGAAAAATTTGGTTTCCCGGAATACTTTCCCCCACCGTGAATCCTAAAGGACCCCGCCTCGCTAAACGGCAGATAACCCCCTCTTCAAGGGGACCGAAACGAGTTGAACACGCTAGCTTTCACCGTGTTCAGCACGAGTCCCAAATATCGAGTTTAAGGTATAGGTCGGTTAGGCGGGGGACAGGCAGGCCTTTTCTGGATATTTTTGTTATTTTCTCGGGATTTTTGCAACGGCATTCGATAGAGCATCAAAAAATAATATATAGCTTTTTCATAAAAATTGCGTAATAATACTATTGGCGATTTTAACGGATTTTGCCGAATTTTGACAGGAAATGTCCCGAAACCTGAGAGAGAGCATTTTTTCCACCCTTGGAATGGTTCGATTCACACAAATACGGCTTAAACCGGGGCTGCTAATCACTTCTCACCACCAAAATCGGCATGCTGTTCAGGCAGAAGGCTCTTCGGCTACGGCTACCGCTGAATCGGGGGCCGCGAATGACGAATGCGTCGTCGATACCGCGGTCCGCCCACCCGACCCGCTACTGCCCCGGTAAATTAAGAATACAATGCATTGAATGAACTATTTCAGGATCCGAGCACAGCCGACTTCAACAAGACGTCGAGTGAGACATCGGACGGACTGGACGACGCTATGCACAAAAGCGAGAAGGCGCAGAAAGAGCCTCCCAAATTGACAGCCCGGTAAATTAAGAATACAATACATTGAATGAACTATTTCAGAACCCGAGCACCGGTACCCTCATCAACAAGTCGTCGAGTGAGACATCGGACGGACTGGACGACGCTGTGCACAAAAAGAGGTACTCCCCCCGTCCCGTCCCCCGCGTAAAATTTTCCCCACCGCGTAGCCGACATATACCCGAATTTAAAAAGCGTCTACGTCTTCGGAGTTCATCTCCAATAACCCAAGTTCTTTCAGGAGCCACCACCCCTGCCCCGCCCACCGCCCAACAGCCACACCCCTGGTGTTCTCCAGTCTGTTGAAAGGTTTACCTTTTTCGGGGCTTTGGCATTTTTGGGGGATTTAAAGTTTTTATGGGTTTTGAGATATTGAAACCAAGTAGAAAATAAATAATAGTTTTAAGCACCCCTATTAAGTTACTAGCCATTTCTGGATCAATACAAAAAATTTTTGTCTCCCCCCGATAATGCGAAAGAACCCCCGTCGCTCACCGCCCTTTACACAGTCGATTCTTTACCGTTACAGGGTTCCGCGGAGCTGCCGAAAAACTGTGCGAAGGGCACGCCGATCTCTACCACGTCGCTCGGGATGCGACGTGTTGCCTGATCCGTCGCGCACCATTCGTGAGTCGATTTATGCGTGGTCGCGACTTACTTCTTAATTAAGGGCAACGAGGGCCTACTCGTCTCGATCCACAGAGCCAGCATCGTGCTGATCACGTGCGGCTGCACCTCTCACAGGTGATCCTTCAAGCGAGGCCGCTTACAAGGGCTTAGGCTTAGCTTACAAGGAGCCGTTTTTGCGTGACATGCGGGACTATCTTGCGCAGAAATTTGCGCTGATCGCGAATATGCACTTCACAAAAAACTTTTGAGCTTCACTTTTTCTTGTATAATTTTTCATATTGAATTTTCCTTTTTAAATTTCAAAAATAAACACTTCCACTGTTTATTTTGGAAAAAGCACATAGGAAAAACGGGAAGCCCAAAAAATCGACTTATACATTTTTTCAGCCGTTGATTTTTCAAGCTCCTTGGGGTTGTTAGATATGAAAAACACATCAAAATCATGCGATTTGCGAAAATTTCTCGTTGTTCGTCAAGTATCTATATGGAGTTGATGCATCGACCATTTTCAAAATTTTTAAATGATTTTAACTGGCAATCAAATGAATATCATCAAATATCAAATGAATGGCAATCAAATGAATAATGAATCAAATGAATTTTTGAAAAAGACAAGAAAGAAATCTAGAAAAACTGAAAGCGGATTCGGAATCAGCGAAAAATTCTGCACAAAATTGGCTAGTCCCATACCGAAACGCCACCTTGACCTTAGCTGGTTCCCTTGTAAGATCCTGATTTTAGCAATCCGATTCGTCGTTGCGCACCTCGATGAGGTCACCTTCGCGAAGCTCTTCTCGGTGATCAAGGCTTGGCTGGCCCCGTTGCTAGAGAAGGTGAGCTCAAGAAATTATTTAAGACTCAAAAAGATTTCAGTCTGCTGCATACCGGAAGAAGCAAGAGCGCGAGCATTACGAGAAACGCTGGAGGATGTACGTGGTGAGAACACTTGGAGTGCCAACATCTGTTGCGCTTTTCAGAGCGCCTGCCGGCGTCGACAATGCAAGGCTGAAAGCGATCGTGCTCTCCTGAAGAAGCGTTTGGCCAACGGCCTCGACCCCCATGCCGGAGGACTCGGAGATCGAGAACGGATCCGGATGCTGCGCTCGTCTTTTGGAACTCCTGGGATGTGGGCCAACTGTCGCTGAGGAGCCTCCGGTGAGAAGTTCAGACCGCAAATTTCGGCACAAAGGGAGGCAGAGATATTTGGAAAGAGAGGGCTTGTTTTCATAATGTCGAAGTTCATAATGTCGAAGTTCATAATGTCGAAATTTACATAAGCTAATATTCCCCCTAAAACCCGCCAAATCCAAGGCTAAAAAATGTCGACATTAGAAATTTCGACCTAGTGATTTTCGAGAGAGAGGGAGAGAGAGTGACAGAGCGAGGGAATGATAGAGATAGGGAGAGAGAGAGGGAGAGAGAGACAGAGAGAGAGAGGGAGCGAGAGAAAGAGATAGGGGGAATGCATGGTAAGCTGCGCCGCCGTGCTGGCGCGGGTCCTTTTCTAGCGGGCTGGAGCGTCTAATTTTTGGCAGGGACATGTAAATTGTTGGTTAAACCGAAAGTCCTTATAACCGAACTTTCGGATTTTATTTCGGAACCGGTTCCTATCACGAAAGTTTAAAAGAATGAGAAATATCATAAGGACATTCGGTTCGATCTAGATTCCTTTATATTATACTCTTTGTATCTTTTAAGTATAAAAACCCTGCCAAGACCGCTATGAAAGCACATTATATATTATGTCATAATTAATAATCGAAATTCGCTAAATCCCCTTTCAAAGGTGCCAAAAAGCCACTTTAATTCGCAAAGGTTCGATCTACAAAACCCGTCCTCGTTGTTTGTTACACAATTACACCTCGACCACCCCAATTTTTTTTCTAATCTCAAAGTCAGAAAATTCTTTCACCAAATTCTTTCAGCCGCCGCCCGACCGCCCTCCCGCCGCATCGCCCGCCGCCCGCCCGCCGCATCGCCCACCGCCCCGCCCGCCCGCCTCCCACCACCTCCCCCACGTATTCCCAAGTCTGTTAAAAGGGTCAGTTTGTTTGGGGGCTTTGGCGTTATCGGGGGACGCTTGATTTTTCAAGCTCTGTGGGGTGAGATATGAAAAGCACATCAAATTATGACATTTACGAAGATTTCTAGTTTTCGTCAAGAATGTAGCCAAATCGGCCGGTTCCGACATTTGAAAATGATTTTAACTGCCAATCAGACGGATACTTAAATTTCTCATATTTTTTTTAATTTTGATTAATAATGCTAGACAAAGACCGAAAAAGGTCAAATTTTTCGATTTTTCAAGAATTAAAAATCCTAATTTTTAACATAAAAACCCAGCTAAAACCACTATGGAATAAATTAGCTATTATTTAGTAATTAATAATGTAATTCTAATCCGATTTGAAAAACCCCTCGATCCACCCCCGATCCGCCCCAATAGCTAAGAAACAGATCGCTGTATATCAAAACTTTTGCAGTCCCAGCCGCTCAACCCTCAACAACAACAACAAACGTACTCGGCGCCCATGCCTTCCAGCTCGGTATTGTTTGAAAAATAACCCTAAAAAGATCAAAAGCCTCTATTTCCCAAAAATATTTAAAATGGCACTTTCAAAAGGTTAGAAAATTGTTTGAAAAGTCGAAATTTTGGTCAATTTGGTTTCGAAATGAATTGAATATTTGCCAAATACTCAAGAAACCGTTTTGACAGATAAGATATTCTAGCTCGCAGAATCCCATTTGCAAAACCCGTTGATCCACCCCCGATCCGCCCCAATCGCAAAGAAACAGATCTCTGTATATCAAAACTTTTGCAGTCCCAGCCGCTCAACCATCAACAACAACAAACATATTCGGCGCCCATGCCTTCCAGCTCGGTATTGTTTGAAAAATAACCCAAAAAAAGATCAAAAATCACTTGTTCCCAAAAATGTGTAAAATAGCATTTTCAAAAGGTTAGAAAAGTGTTTGAAAAAGTCGAAATTTTGGTCATTCTGGTTATGGTATCAGTCTATCAAGACTTTTGCAGCAATAACCCGCGTCTTCACAAGTCTGTTGGAAGGACGGCTGAAGAAAAAGAAGAAAAGAAGTTGATAAAGAAGAAGATGCGTAGGAAAATGAAGAAGAAATGCAGCATCAGCAGAAGAGCTAAAGCGCACGACAAGCCAATTACAAAGCCACTTCCCCCTCATGTTTTGTGTATTTTTCGTGTAATATTGTGAATCAATTTTTCGTGAAAATAAACCTTGTTTCTATGAGATTTATCCACCGGATATGCTGATAAATTTAACACACGCAAACGAATCTGGAAAAATCCTCTTCTATCTTTCGACCGCTTCGAATAGTGAGATAGAAGTGCTAGAGAGAGAGCGCGAGAGAGAGAACATCTTTTTTACCGGGACAATCCATATTTGAATCTCGACAGATTCCCATCTTGCCATATTCTCCAAAACTTCCGAAATCTCTAAATTTCGATAGTGCGAGATTCCGATTAGCATCCGATTTTTGCATCTGCTCATTAACATACCAAAACGCTGCATGATTAGTTGCATTTGCACGCGCAAAAATACCACACCCAATTTGAGGTTCTGGCCGTGTGGCGGCTAGGTAATACTTTTGCTTTGACCCTTTTTAGGTATCCGCTCCAGGGCCTAACGTGTACCAAATTGGCTAGCACTTTACGCTATTCTACTCTCGACTCACTCAATTCTTTTCTATCTAGCAGCCGACTGTTTAACGACCTTGGCGCGTTGGGAACGAATCTGAAAAATCGATGTTCAAAACCTTGACGTCTTCCGATTTCCTCTCCAATCACAAAATTTCTTTCAGTCGCCGTCAGCCCTGCCCGCCCCACGCCCGCCCGGCCGCCCCGCCCGCCGGCCGCCCCGCCCGCCGCCCCCCACCACCACCGCCCCGGGTGTTCCCAAGCCTGTTAAAAGGGTCAGTTTTTTTGGGGCGGGGGGGGGGGAGCTTTGGCATTATCGGGGGGACGCGCTTGATTTTGCAAGCTCCTTGGGGTTGTTCGATATGAAAAACACATCAAAATCATTCCATTTGCGAAAATTTCTCTTTGTTCGTCAAGTATTGCTTGCAAAATTTAAAAACATTTTGTAAATTTTTATAAACTTCCGAAAACTATTTTAGTTTCCGATTTCCTCTCCAATCACCAATATTCTTTCAGTCGCCGCCCACCGATTATACAATAACTAACAATTTAACTAGCAGCACCCCATTTGAAAATGAGGAAATTTGTATTTTCGGCACCTGTCGTCCAGAGCTAGTCAGGGTTAACCAAATATACCTAAAATTGACTTTACATAGTTCCGTTCCAATAAAAAACAACCCCTCTAGCTCGAATGATAAGTATCGGAAGCCAGCTTAAGCTTTTGTCAAAATCGCCCATTTCTAAGGAGCCAAAAAAAGCATTGCACAGCATGCACAACAAACACCGGCTCTCTTCCCGAAGGCGCCTATCCACGCATTAGGAAACAGAACTACCTGCTATAGCGTGGACCGAGTTTATAAAATTGTGAGGTTTAAAACGTTTCTTTAAAGGGGCTCGGTTTCAAGGGTTTTTGAATGGTATAAATATCATTCCAATCGGACCCTTCTCGGTCGGGTTAGAGGTTAGACGATGGGTGTTTATTGGGACACCCTGTAGTCTGTTCTTTACAGTTTCATCATTAATCAAAAGCTTGCAGCCGCCGGTCGCTGATGGCCAACCCGTGGCTGCGCCCCCACCCGCCGCGCCTCCACCCGCTGCGCAACCACCCGACGTGCCGCCGCCAGTTCAGCCACCACCGCCGCTTGCTGCTGCGGCCGCGCAGCCGCCTCCACCGCCACACGCGCCCGCCGACCCGGATGAAATCACGGTCGAGCCTGACCCGGTCGGTGGTCCATTTCAAATTCGAGTGCACGCATCCAGCGAAAGGGTCGAGGCGTTTAGTTGGGTACTTATAGGGTAACGGGGGGGGCAATAACGGGGGCGGGGCTCTCAGCATTATCCTACTAGATATAAAAAATAAATACCTTCCGTGTGTGCCACTTTGCATATGCGTAAGGTGCGTAAGCAGCGTAATGATCTAGGGATGCCTGCACACCAATAGGATTTTTAAAAATTAGCTAATTTCGGTCTGAAAAACAAGCGCCAGGGTTGAAAAGTCGCGAAGCGGGACACCCTGGCAGTACAGATAGTTTAACAGGGGTGGGGGATATTTTAGGCGTTATCGATCTTTTCGCTATTTCAAAAATGCGATTCGATAGAGGGCCTAAAAATATACTAAGAGATTCTTTTGTAGCCCAAACATATGGTATTTGTGCAAATTTCAGCCGCCGCCGCCGGCTAGCCCGACGCCCCGCCCGAAGCCCCCGCCCGCCGCCCACTACCCCACCCCAGGTGTTCTCCAGTCTGTTAAAAGGGTCAGTTTTAGCCTAAGGAGTTGCACAATATTCGGGTCTTTCGCAGTATCGGGGAACTTACTCTATTCGGGGTTTTTTAGCAGGATTTATCTGTTTTTAGTAAATTTTTGCTGTATTTGATGTACAGGGTGTCAAAACGCCCCCCGGCCGCTTTTGACGCTTTAGGTATTTATTAGCTCTCGAAAGGGAAAGTTGCTGAAAGGGAAAGCTAAACACTGCTGAAAATTTCACCCCCCGCTAACCGTCCAGCACCTTTTTCCATTCCATTGTTTTCAGGTCTGCCAGCGAACGGCGAGTACGTCGCAAGAGTTGAAAGCGGCCGCCGTCGAATTCAACAGAGTGCTGGAGCGCCTCGATCGCTTGGTAGGAGCTTGTATTGCTGCAATTTCCGGCTCTTTCCAGGCTATTGATGACAGGGGTGCGCTGAACAACGCGGAAACCCGGAGGGACCAAGCCAAGACCAAAGTAAGGAGCAGTTGCACAATATTCGGTTCTTTCGCAGTATCGGGGAAACCAACTTTTTTCTAGCAGTTCCATTTGGCTAATGTTAATCGAGGAGGGGTTTCACCACTGTTTTTCACTATTCCTGAACGTAAAAACTCCACAGATAATACAATAGAAAAACGTCGATGTTTCGACCCAAAAATGGCTTCGGCATTCGACGAAAATTTCACCAAAAATATTTATTTACGAGTTTTTTGAGTGTTTGTTTTTTGTTTTTATAAAAAAATCGATGTCAAAATTTATACAAGTAAAATAGTGTTTGGCAGGTTACACTATTCAAATAGGCTTAAATTTTTCTTTCGAATCGCCCCCCCCCCCCGCCGGAATTACACAAGAAACTAGCGATAATATCAAAAACTAGCCTTTTAACCCCATTTTTCGAGGTTGTTTTTGTTTTTGCTATATTATTTTAAATTACGATATTTTGAACTGCCATTCAAAACGTAAACCATAGCCCAAAATAGGCTAGGTGCCATTCCTCGGCCCAGACTAGGCTAATTGTAAGAAGACTTTGCAGTAAGATATCTCTGTTTTTGCAGTACGACAATTATCTCATGGAGATGAAGGGAAAACATCCGAAGGAATGGATTGCCGCGGCGCCAAAAGTGACGGTCCCGGCGCCTCCTGCACAGCCCGCCAATGGTCCCCCGGCTCTGCACACGCCGCCCGTCATCCCGCGTGATCCGCCGCCTCCACCGCCGGCCGAGCCGGACGAGGTTGTCGTCGAGCCCGACCCGGTCGGTGATCCATTTCAAATTCGAGTGCATGCATCCAGCGAAAGGGTCGAGGCGTTTAGTTGGGTACTTATAGGGTAACGGGGGGGCAATAACGGGGCGGGGCTCTCAGCATTATCCTACTAGATATAAAAAAAATACCGTCTGTGTGTGCTACTTTGCATGTGCATAAAGTGCGTAAGCAGCGTAATGATCTAGGGATGCCTGCAGACCAATAGGATTTTTAAAAATTAGCTAATTTCGGTCTGAAAAACAAGCGCCAGGGTTGAAAAGTCGCGAAGCGGGACGCCCTGTTTAGGCAGCACAGATAGTTTAACAGGGGTGGGGGATATTGTAGGCGTTTTCGATATTTTCGCTATTTCAAAAATGCCATTCGATAGAGGGCCTAAAAATATACTAAGAGATTCTTTTGTAGCCCAAAAAAACCCTATTTAAAAATTTTGTTAATATGGTAGCCTATTTAATAATATGTCAACCGGCAATCTCACTGTATTTTACGTTTGTTACAGCCGGAGAAACATTCAATTTCAGCAATATCTCAAAGGAATTTCAGCCGCCGGCCTGCCCAGCCCGACGCCCCGCCCGAAGCCCCGCCCGCCGCCCACGACCCCACCCCAGGTGTTCTCCAGTCTGTTAAAAGGGTCAGTTTTTCGGTTTTGAGCGGACTTTTTGGACTTTTCGTAGTCGGTTTACATAGTCGATTCGGGGCGCGAACGAAGGAGATTATAGAAGGAGATACTTTTGTTACAGGCGGCGGACGGCGTGGGCATGCTTTACATTTATCCAGAAGTCGAACTGCGGCGCGTGGGGACGGCAAGCCCCCAAAGGGATAAGGCGGGTGTAAACGTAGATAGCTTATTTCTGAGCGGACTTTTTGGACTTTTCGTAGTCGGTTTACATAGCCGATTCGTGGCGCGAACGACGCAGAGAAAAGGCAAAAGCGAAAAGCGCAGGAAAACCTCGAGTTTTTATTGATAGGGAAGAAATGTCGATAGGAAACGACGGTTCCGGAAACGCCTGCACACCATAAAAAGAAAAATTGTGGTTTCCGCTCTTAAAAGTAGGTCTCTGTAAAATTCTCGTCCACCCTCTTCAAATAGCATGTACCCGAAGTGGGGGTAACTTATGGAACGGTAGGGAGGGACGGCCCGGTTTTCATTTCTTGGAGATCGGTTTTTGGCGAGAATTGTTCAAAGTCAATAATTTTATAGGTCCTAGACGGGGCCAGGGTTCAAAAGCCGCCAAGCGGTTTTTCAACCCTGGTTTTAAGGCTAATCGATTAGATGCCGTTCGCGGCATTGTATGATGGTTATTTTGCAGGCGACGGCCCGCTACGCGACGAGCCCAGCAAATACCCCCAACACGGCGCGCTCCGTCAGCCCTGTGAGGGATGATCGCCAGAGTCTGCAGCAGGCTGGACAAGTAAATTTTAATTGCTTTTTATGATCCATAGCCTTGAAATTGGGGTGATTTTTGCCGACCAGGGGAGCGTAAAAGAGCCAATTTTCGGCACCTATCGCTCAGAACTAGTCACGCATTAACGAAATATACCCAAAATTGACTTTACATAATTCCGTTCTAATGAAAAACACCCCCCTCTAGCTCGAATCAAAAGTATCGGCAGCGAAACTTACGCTTTTGTCAAAATCACCCATTTTTAGGAGCCAAAAAGCATTTTGTTTTTTGAAAGAAGAATCACAAATTTTGTGGCTGTCTGCGCTTACAGCGCATGCTCGGTGGGTTGGACATATACGCCTATTCCAAGCGTAGAGACTGCGGCAAAGAGACACGGTCGCAGCTGTCCATAGGCGCCTTCGTCCAACTCCGTGAGCGCGCGCTTTGAGCGTGGGGGAACAAGCTTAAAAACACTTTGCAGGTGCCCCCCCCCCGCACTCCGCCGACGGTGACATCGCCGACCCGTTCGCCAAACTATCAGCCGCAGCGTCATCAGCATCAGCCTCGTCTCCGTCAGGAGGCTTTGCCGGTAAATTTCAATTGCTTTTATGGTGCAGACAGAGCCTTGACATTGGGGTTTGTTTTTCCGACAACTGGAGCGAAAAAGTGCCACCTGTCCAGAACCCGGTTTCCATACGCTTCTAGGTATTGGACTGTTAGCGGGGCGGGGGTTTAAATTACATAATTCCGTTTGTTCTAAATTGGCGTATGGAATATGGATAAATGCAGTTTAGTTTAATAAGATTTTTCCGATTTTCTCTCCAATCATCAAAATTCTTTCAGCCGCCGCCCGCCCGCCCCCGCCCGCCTCCCACGACCGCCGCCTGCCGCCCCGCCTCGGCGCCCACCGCCACCCCTCGCGTCTTCTCAAGCCTGTTAAAAGGGTCCGTTTTTTAGGGCTTTTGCATTATCCGGGGGCAGGGGAAGGGGAGTCGCTTGATTTTTCAAGCTCGGTGGGGTTCTTAGATAGTTAGAGATTGTTTATAGCCCCAGCAGTACGTCCAAAGCACCCCGCCGGTAAATTTAAATTGCTTTTATGATCCAGAGCCTTGCCATTGGGGTTTGTTTTCCCGACAAGGGGTGCGAAAAAGTGCTACCTGTCCAGCCCAGTCACTCGGTTAATAAACATATCTAAAATCTACTATATCTAAATTTCTAATGTCCGTACGCCCGACCGACCGGGAATTCAGCCAAATTTTGCATTCAAATTACAAATTCCATTTGTGGGGGTGGGAGAAGGCCAGCGCTGAACCCCCGCGCAGCGGGGGGTCAGCGCTGGTTGACTGCATAAACTGTACAAAAAACACCCCTTCTAGCTCGAATCAGGAGCATCGCGTAGCGAAAAACTTGCGCGTTTCCGAAAATCGCCCATTTTTAGGAGCGAATTGTCATCCGCAAGTAGCTAGCAAAATTTGATGAATAGAAACGGAATGAGCACGCGAAAATTGGCGCTATTTGCAAGATTTTTTTAATTTTGCATTTTTTTGGCTGCCTGTGAAGATTTTTTATCCATTTTTGGCCGAAAAGTCAAAATCTTTTGAAAATTTTTATAAATTTTTCTAAATCATTAATATCTAAAAACCATATAAATTTCTAAAAATGGCTCATTTTTCGTTGTACAGGGTGGGCAAAAAAAAAAGATCCGAGTTTGGGTCGAAATATCTCGCGAACGGTAGAGAATCGAAGGTGCGTTACCATGCCAGAATGCTTAAATATGTTGGGTATGAAGATTTAACACAACTTGATTTTTTCGATTTTTGGCGACGTATCAATACAAATGACACCCGAAAACTGTGCGTTCGGGGAAATCTTGATTTCCCTTTTTCTCAGTTTCCTGTGGTGAATGGGTTCTAATTTTTTCTATTTAAGTTAATGTAGGCAGTAGATATGCACCTACAAAATTTAAGAATTTTTGAGGGTCTGGTTGACAAGTTATAGAAGAATGAAATTTTGTATGGGGAAATTTCGTAAATTTCGAAAATTACAAAACCTATGGCCAAAACATCAGAATAAGCTGTTGTAGAATAACTACGGACCCTATACTACCGCATAAACACACCCTAAAAAAATTTCGAGATCGATGAATTTTCGAGTTTTTCAACGACCCCGGGGTCATGGATTTTTCGGGGTCTCGAAATCGAACTTTGGAAAAATATTTCTAAATTGCCAAAGGGGACTCAGCTATTTTTTTGCTTAGCTATGTAGGACTGGGATTTATCAATCATCTCCAAAATTTCGAGCTACCGTACCCCTTTGGAAGGGCGTCTTTTAGGGCCTCCAAAACGGTTGGTACGGGCTTTTTTCCAAAACCCGCAAACAATTTATGAATTTTAACAGCGCTACGAAAATTGTCATTTTAAGTTTATCTAATACTATTTGAATAGCGCATCCTAAAGCCACGTTCTTGAATTTATTTGACCAGCCGTTGACGAAAAGAAAATTCATCAAAACCCGAAATAAACCGAATTCGAGGGGGCGTAAAAAATTTTTGGAAGGTGAAGTCGCCAGGAACTTTTCACCAATAAATCTGTGGTGTTAGTTAAATAAAACTATGCAAAGATTAAAACAATTTAGCGTCGAAAAAATTTTACGAAGAATTTTAAACTTCGGTTTTAGAACAGGGTGATTTTCCATTTATGGCTGAAAGTCACCATAATTTTGAATCAGATTGCTCCGGAATTTGACAGGCGTAAATAATAACATCAAAGCTATACAGGGTGGCCAGAAAAAAAAGTGCCTGGTTTGCACTGAAATATCTCGCTAGAGGAAACGAATCGAACCATCGTTACCATGCCAGGATGCTCAAATATGCTGGGTATGAAGAATAAACACAAGTTACTTTTTACGATTTTTGACGACCCCCTACTCGTTAAAAAGTTTTGAACATTTCTAAAAAAGTAGAAAACTTTGAAGACAAAGATAATGGAACTTTTAATGATTTAGCCGGACATAAAGGGTATCAAAATGAAGCTCTTGACATGCGCTATCAAACCTATGGTAAAGAATTTTGATCGGTTTAATTAGTCGTCAATAGGAGCCTTCGGAAAATCGCGACTTTTTCAGAATGGCCGATTCCGAATTGACCATAGAAACCGCATTGACGCCATAACTTTTGTACTTGTTACATGTAATCCCCTAGTGCCAAAGATAACCATGTTATAGTTTTAACTAAAACAGCCTAGAACTTCCAAATTCCGTCGACTTGGCAACATGCCAAAAAATTTTTTGATTGGGATTTTATAAATGTTAATGCCAAAAATTAGTAGTTATTTATGTATTGCTAACTGCAAAATATTAGACATATCGGATGGTAAGGAAATTTTATCTAGAATTATTTCTCCAAAAAGTCGCGATTTTCCGAAGGCTCCTATTGACGACTAATTAAACCGATCAAAATTCTTTACCATAGGTTTGATAGCGCATGTCAAGAGCTTCATTTTGATACCCTTTATGTCCGGCTAAGTCATTAAAAGTTCCATTATCTTCGTCTTCAAAGTTTTCTACTTTTTTAGAAATGTTCAAAACTTTTTAACGAGTAGGGGGTCGTCAAAAATTCGTAAAAGTAACTGGTGTTTATTCTTCATACCCAGCATATTTAAGCATTCTGGCATGGTTACGATGGT